AACAATGATGGGGAGGAGCCAGCCAAAGGACCAAAGCAGCCCAAGGCCAACGCCAACGCCAAGAAGCAGGAGCCAACTGAGGAGGCAAAGCACCAAGCACCAAACAAAAGGAAACGGGCGTCGCAGGAGCAAGCATCTACAGAGGAGCAACCCAAAGGGAGTGAGGCCCAATCTCATCCCAATGAGCCAAAGGGTGAGGAAGCAGAACAGCCAACGGGCCGCCCAGGCCGCAAACGGAAGCAGTACCAAAACCCAGAAGAGGCTGCGAAGGCTGCCCTCAAGAGCCGTAAGTGTGTGGCCTACAACCTCACCTACCGTAAGAACTTGGAAATGCATGGGGAAGAGGAAGCTAGGAAAAGGGCCCGAGATGTTCTTTGCCATTGATTTCATATGCAACATTTTCTAGCTCTTTCTTGAAGTGTGCATGGTGTCGGTATGGTTCCTGTTTGTGCGTAGTGTCCATTAAGGCTTATAAGCACACCGTCTGAGATGGCCACTGGCCGGAGATTGCCGCACATTTTGGCAGGCATCTGCTTTGATTTGGTGCAATCAAAAGGATTGCACTTGGGGACTGCCAGCTGCGGAGGGCAGCTGCCATTTACTCTTGGTGGGATTTAGATTTCAAGTCAGCTGGGTGATCCTGGCAGTGGAGTGCAGCAAGAAATCATCAGCGCCAGTGCCTGTGTCTTATGCCTTCCAAGATAGGTTGATTGATATGTAAATATATATTGTATAGAAAACGAAAGGTTAATATTCACCTATAGACTATAGACAGATCTTTCACCTAGCTACAGTTCTGTATATATATATATATATGTACTGGCAACCTCTCTTGGTTGTGGCATGGTTCTGCCACACCCTATTGTTTCCCATGCCAGGTCATGCCGAGGCAACGGGCCTGGGCTCTTCAAGGCCGGCTGGGCATCTTGAGGGGATGGCTCATTTTGGAATTTGAGATCATGCGCTTTGTTGGAGGTGCACAGCTTACATGTTTGGATGCCGTTCGTTTGCAGCAATCTGGGTCAGTTAGCAAGAGTCTGACTGGGATGTGCTAGCTATGGAAACTACCTCAATGGTTGTTCGGCTTCTTCATGTGCAAGCGCCAAAGGCTGGAAACTCTGCAGCTATGTTTTCGAACGCGCTCAATCTTTTGTCATTTTGATGTAAAGCAAGTAGTGGTCGTGGAGTGCCATTTGACCGGGTGCTGATTGCAACGGTCACACCCCTAATCTTAACAGCGCTT